GGTAGGCACATCAAAATGAAAGTGCTGTCTTCCAGCATTTGTTTTCCTGGCAGGCTTGGAGGGGAGAGTAGGGGCTGATGTGGGATGCGGGAGGAATGCAGGACGCAGGAAGAAAAATTATTCTTATCCACAGAGTTCAGCCCAGGAGAGCTGAGATATGCAAAAGGCTCAAGCTAATAAGCTGAGCGAACAGTACTTAGAGGGCCATGGCCGGGCACAATTATGCAATGCTGGTTTATTTGCTGCTGTAAGTTTGATGGGAGAAAGCCCGGGTGGCAGGTGAGGAGCTCGGGACCCAGCAGCTCGCTCGTGGCTGTGTCCCCGGTGTGGGGCTGGGGGTCTCCCGACACACCCGCGACTGGAAGGGATTTAAACCCATTCTTTAAGAAATTGCATAATTATTGCAAAGTTCAGAACAAAACTCCCAAGACACTTACTGATGCCTTGAACTGTTCTGTTTTCCATACCCTAGAGCCTACCGGGAAGCGCAGGGGATGAGCTAACGCTGCGGCTTCTGCTCCATCGACCCCGAGCCATCACTGCGAAGGGTGACTGTGGGTCCCAGCTCAAATACAACCTGGGGACAAAACGACTGTGGGAAGGACCATATGCACCTTCAAGCATGGGAAAAATAAGTGCCACCCAGCTGCCGAGGGATGCTGGCAGGCAGGGTGGACCTGAGGAGCTGCCGCACTGATCTGGGAGCTCTGCAGCGTGGGTGTCACCGTGCCCCGGGCCCTTGGTGGCTGTGGAAAGCCACAGGGGAGAAGCCACAACCGGCAGAGGAATGCAGGTGGGCAGTGGACGTGGGGAGGCTGATTTTGGGGCAGTCGTCATATGCGGGTGCTTCCATGGCCCCTCTTCCCCAGAGCACTTTTATCAGCGTCATTCGGGACAGCATCTGTCCTGCGAGTTGGTGACTGCAATTAGCCCAGCATTCCAGGGACGCTCTGGGTGTCCCCAGTCCTGTCCCTGTCCCCACGTGCCTTTGCAGCCCCGTGCCTCCCAGAGCGGAGCCGCTATTCCCACCAGACCGCGGTACCCACCCCAGGCGTTGAAAATAGAAGCAGGAGCCCTGACTCACACTTCCCACCCTCCTTTCAAGCCTGCAGCAGAGAATGGGGCAGGCAGCCCTGTGTCCCCCTCCGTTCCCTGCCGTCCCTGCCTGCCCTGCCGGCTGCCCGCTCCCGTGCCGCCCCTGGATGGACACACCGGGCCGGCAGCAGCTCCCCCTGCTAATTTACCAGCCTGACAGTAATTTTTCTTACATAACGTAGGGAGGCTCGTTAAAGGTTTCAGCTCTCAGCGGAGCTTCCCACCCCGTCTTTGCTGCGCTGGCACGGATCATGCCGGTGGGTTTCATTCACCGAGCGCCCGAAACGGAGGTACCGAAAGCCCCTGCGGGTCTCTCTGCCCATCGTCATCCTCCCCACGGTCTTATTCTAACCCCAACAGCTTCCAGGACCTACCTCCATCGTGGGCAGGGCTCGGGTCCCCCAGAGCTAGTCGGCGTGGGCTGCTGGGCCATGTCCCTGCCGCGGCACGGAGCCCGGCAGCGATGCGCGGGCAGTGCGGGCTGCCATGGCAGGGTGCCTGGCCGGGGGAAAGCGGCAGCTGATGGCAGCAAAGTTTTGGGGGAGCAGCAGGGAGGGAGGGAGGGAGGGAAGAGGAGATCCCTCCTGCAGACCCCGTCAGGGCTGTCCCTGCATCCCCGTGCCCCTTCCACTGCCTGTGCCCTGACACAGTGGGTCAGGATGGGCCGTTGTCATCTGCTGTGTCACATACCAGGACAGAAAGACAGGGAGAGGCAGGGGGAGGCAGGCGTGAAGCAAAACCCAGTGTGGGACCGATGCGTGGGGAAAAATGCAGGCGCCAGGCAAGGAGCTGGGCAGCTTGAGGGAGCTAAAAGCCAGGAACCAGCCACTTGTGCCAGGACCAGATGGTGCCTTGGCCCATGCCGTGCACTGAGATGGACCTGGATCTGGCCCGCTCACACCACGGCGAGCGATGGGGAAGGTTGCACCGACCCAATTCTGCCATGGGAGAATACGCAATGCACAGAAAACACGTCCAGCCGACTGACCAGATACAAGTGTTTGAGACTTCACGTGCAATTAAAAAGATATTAAACAGTGCGCCCAAAAAGCAAGCCGGGACGACAGCAGGCTCTAGTTCTGCAGAAGCAGTCTGGAATCACCCCCCAGGTGCTGCATTTACCCCAAGGCCAGTGGAGCTGGTGAGGGGCCAAAGCCAAAGTCCTGGTGAGAAAGGAGACCCGGAGCTTGTGCATTTGCCTCCACCCAAAGCCCTGGGGTTGCATGGAGCAGGGTTTGTGCGGCCACCACTGCAGGATCAGGCCTGGATCGGAGCGACCGAGGGAAGCAGAATTAAAGCCCACAGCATTACGCTGTGCCAGACCAAAGCCTTCAACATGCCCTGTCGATGCTGAAACCTCAGACCAACTGTGGCCGCAGACCAGAGCATCCGTGCAGCCGCGGACGACGGGCTGAACGGGAGAGGTTCATTTGCAGCTCTTCTGGTTTAGTTATTTTTCAAAAAAAAGGCACCAAGACAACACCAGCTTAGGAAGCATTTTCAGCCACACATTGAACTGTACAGGCCGGACCGATGAGCTGATCGTGACCTAGATGCATGTTTAATGGGGAAGACCGTGCTGCTCCCACAGCGGAGACAAGCCCAGCACCGCTCAGCCTCGTGCTTCCTATGGTCTCTGGGGTTGTCCCTAAGTCTGTCCGTGCCCTGGATGTGTAACCTGCCACATCGGAGAGGCTCTGGGTGCAATGCTGCACCTCTGAGCTACCCCGCGGTGCCCAGCCAGCGCTGCACAAAAATCAACCTGACCTGGCATGCATGGATTTGAAAGGTTCGGTTTGACAGCTCCATAAAAAGCACCATCCCCAGGTCTCAGGCCCTCCGTATCCTGCAAACGTGAGCTCCCCTAAGCCTCACCACGGACACCGCCACGACATTCCCTGC